GCCCCCCCCCGGTGCCCCCCGGTGCCCCCCGAGCCCCACCATGTACCCCCGGTCCCCCCCGGTTCCCCCGGCGCCCCCTCCCCGAACAGAAGCACGGGCCAGGTTTCAGCGCTGTTTTATCACGGACCCTTTTCCAGGCGGTTCCACCCCAAAACCGCGAGGGACCCGCCCCGACCCCCCCCCGAGCCGCCCGCGGCCCCCCCACCCCCCCGAGGGGTCCCTCCTGGCCTGGGGGGTCTGGGAAGGGACACGGAACCCCACGACCACCCCCCAGGTGAGGGGGAGGCACCCCGGGGACCCCCAGCCCTCAGGGGGGACCCCAAAAGGGGGGACAGGGAGACCCCCCCAGAATGGGGGGGAGGGGACAGGGGCACCCCCCCCACACACACACACAGCCCTGAGGAGGGGGGGCCAGGACACCTGGGGACCCCCAGAGCAGAGATGGGGGGACAAGGACACCCGAAGACCCCAAGACCCCCAAAATGAGGGGGGAGGGGGTTAAGAACACCCGGGGACCCCCAGAGCTCCAAGCTGGTGGGGGACAAGGACCCCCAAAGCCCTCACAGCCACCAAAAGAGGGGACAAAGACCCCCCACCCCGAGCCCCTGACCACCAATGTGGGGTCAGGACAACAAAGGCACCCTGAGACCACCCAAAGCACAGAAATGGGGTGATGGCAACACCCCGAGACCCCCAAAGCCACCCCGGGACCCCCAGATCCCCAACGGGAGGGCGGGAAGCCACCTCAGGACCCCCAAAGCCACAGCACAAAGGTCACCTGGACCTCTGCAGGGGGGGGGACACCCCCAAACCCCTGAGGCAGCGGGGGCAAGGCCACCTCAGCCCCCACCAGGTGCGGGGGGCCCCACAACCCCTCCAAGCTCTGAGATCGGGGACAGGGACACCCCGAGACCCCCCTCAGCCCCCCGAGCTGGAGGTGGGGGGCGAGCACGGCGAGACCCCCCGAGGCCGGAGGTGTTTGGGGAGGCACCCCCAGGGTGTCCCCCCGAGTCCGAACCCTCCCGGGCCCCCGGGCGGGGTTTTGGGGGGCACGGGAGGCACTAGAGGGGCAGGATCTGCTCCAGGAGGGTCTTGGAGGCCGGGGGGATCCTGTCGGGGAACTTGACCTCGAACTCGATGACGAGGTCCCCGCGCTGCTCGGGGGAGCGGGGGAAGGGCAGCCCCTCGCCCGGGATGCGGCGCTTGACCCCCGGCTTCAGCACGTCCTGGAACACCATGGGGATGGAGCGGCCGTCCAGCGTGGGCACGGTCACCGTGCAGCCACACAGCGCCTGCGGGACACGGGGGGACATCAACACCGAGCTGAGGGAACACCCCAGCACGGCCCCGCTGCCCGGAGTGACCCCAGAGTGACCCCTGGAGTGACCCCCAGAGTGACCCCGGAGTGACCCCGGAGTGACCCCCGGAGTGACCCCGGAGTGACCCTGGAGTGACCCCCAGAGTGACCCCCGGAGCGACCCCGGAGTGACCCTGGAGTGACCCTGGAGTGACCCCAGAGTGACCCCGGAGTGACCCTGGAGTGACCCCGGAGTGACCCCGGAGTGACCCCAGAGTGACCCTGGAGTGACCCTGGAGTGAGTGACCCCCAGAGTGACCCCCAGAGTGACCCCCAGAGTGACCCTGGAGTGACCCCAGTGACCCTGGAGTGACCCCCAGAGTGACCCCTGGAGTGACCCCGGAGTGACCCCAGTGACCCCAGAGTGACCCCGGAGTGACCCCACACCTCGCGGAGGCTGATCTTGGCCGGGTAGATGATGTCGGAGCCCTCGCGCCGGAACACGTCGTGGGGCTTGTCCTTGAGCACGAACACCACGTCGGCCGGGATGTTGTTGGGGGTCTGGTCGCCCTCCTTGGGGAAGGTGATCTTGGTGCCCTCCTTCCAGCCACGCTTCACCTCGATGGTCAGGATCTTGTCCTCGTTCCTCACCGTCTTCCCGTCGGGGCCCAGGCGCTTGTGGGAGATCTTCATCTTCTTGGTGCAGCCGCTGTAGATCTCCTCCAGCGACACGCGCAGGTCGTACAGCACGGGGGGGTCCTGCTTGCGGCCGTCGGGCCCCCGGCCCCGCGGGAAGCTGACGCTGCCGAAGCCCCCGACGTGGAAGGTGTTGAAGGCCTCGTCGCCGTCCTCGTCGTCGCCGTTGCGCTGCACGAAGAAGGTGTCGAAGGGGTTGCGGCCGTCGAAGAACTCGGCGAACATGGCGTGCGGGTCGCCGCGGAACGTGTAGGTGAAGGTGGGGCCGTTGGAGCCCCCCGGGCCGGGGGTCGGGGCTCCCCCTTTCAGCCCTGGCGGCGGGGGGGAAGCGCCCATCAGCCCCCCGGCCCCGCGGGGTGCGGGGCGAGCCGCGGGCAGGGCGTGGGGCAGGCCAGGGCGTGGGGAACCGGTTCTGCCCGTGGCGCCGACGCCGCTGACGGCCGCGGACGGGCCCCAACAGGCCCAGCCGGCTCCAGCGGCCCCCCCGGCACAGCCCGGCGCCCTCCCGGCCCCCCCGGGGCTCCCGGCCTGGCGCCGGCCGCCCCCAGCCCCCGGAGCCCCCCGTGCCCCCAGCCCCGCTCCGTGCCGCACCTGCCCCCAACTCCTGCCCGCACCCCCCAGCCCCCAATCCTGGCCCCTGTCACCTGTCCCCATCACCTGTCCCCGCCCCCGTGTCCCCCAAGACCCCCCACCCCTTCACTCTTCCCCCCAACCTCCCCTTCAGACCCCCGCCCTGACCCCCGAACCTGCGCCCCCAGACCCCCGAGCCCGTCCCTTTACCCCCCACGACCCCCGCCCCCCGACACCGCGCCCCCCGTGCCGCCGCTCACCCTCCTCCCCGTACTTGTCGAAGATCTCCCGTTTTTTGGGGTCGCTGAGCACGTCGTAGGCCTCGGCCACCTCCTTGAAGCGCTGCTCGGCGCCCGGGGAGCGGTCCTTGTCGGGGTGGCAGCGCAGCGCCTGCCGCCGGTACGCGCGGCGGATGTCGGCGGCCGAGGCCCCCCGGGACAGCCCCAGCGTGCGGTAATAATCCTTCCCCATGGCCGCCCCCACAGCTCTGGCACCGGGCACGGCGCGGCTCCGCGGGACGGGCACGGGGAGGGAGCCGGGAGGGGCGGGGGGGACGGGGAGGGACCGGGGAGGGACCGGGGATGGATGGGGGAGAGGGCTGGACCGGGAATGGAGCGGGGAGGGACCGGGGAGGGACCGGGGGATGGATGGGGAGGGACCGGGGAGGGACCGGGAGATAAAAGGGGAGAGGGCTGGACCGGGAATGGAGCGGGGGATGGAGCTGGGAGACTCCGGGAATGGAGCGGGGACGGACCGGGGAGGGTCCGAGGGATGGATGGGCAGGGACCGGGGAATGGAGCGGGCAGGGACGGGGCAGGTACCGGGAATGGAGCGGGGAGGGTCCGAGGGATGGATGGGCAGGGACCGGGGAATGGAGCGGGCAGGGACGGGGCAGGTACCGGGAATGGAGCGGGGAGGGTCCGAGGGATGGGTCGAGAAGCGAGTGGAGCAGAGGAGGGTCCGGGAAAGGAGCCGGGGGAACCGAGGACGGATCGGGAACGGGCCGGGAGAGGGTCCGGGGGTAGAACTGCGGAGGAATCGGGAGAGGGATCGGGAAGGAGCCAGGGAGGGACCCGGGAAGGTCCCAGGAGAAGGATCGGGAAGGAGGGAGGGGGAAAGGACGAGGAGGGACTGGGGAGGGAAACGGGATCGGGAACGGGGATGGAGAGGGGAGGAACCGGGGGAGCGGGGATGGGAACCGGGAAAGGGCCGGGGAGGAACCGTGAGGAAACGGGATCGGGAACGGGGATGGGAACGGGCGGAAGGAGGAGCCCGAGCCTTGCCGGGGGCTGTCCCTGTCACTGCAGGGTGTCACCACCGTGACACCGTCTGGAGCCTCTGCCCACCCCCAACAAGGTCGCCGTGGGAATCCCCGGTTCAGGTGACACCTGGGGCAGGACCCAGCAGGGTGACAGCACACCTGGGGAGCTTGGCGGACGCGGGGGGACGTGAGGACAGGGGACACGGGACATGGGGACACGGCTATTGGAGACCTGGGGACAGGTGGCCAAGGGGACACGAGGACACACAGGGAGGGACAGGCCCCTCCACCCCGTTGTCCCCATGACCAGGAGTCCCTATGGCCCCACATTTCATTGTGTCCCAAAGTGTCCTCAGGCCCTGCCACATCCCCTTGGGCCCAGAGGTGTCCCCATGGACACCTGCCCCACCCCGATCTGTGTCCCCGCATGTCCCCACGGTGTCCCCACGGTGTCCCCACGGTGTTCCCATGGTGTCCCCACGTGTCCCCAGGAGCCCCAGTTCCCTCGGACCCTCCCCAGCCCCCCGCGACCTCATCCCCCCCAGCCCTCCATGGACACCCGGGACCCCCCAGACCCATCTGAACCCCCAAGACCCTTCAGCCCCCCAAGACCCCAGCCCCCTTTAGACCCGCCCACTGCCCGCCCTTGCCGTGATCCCATTGGCTGGCCTGGGCGTCACTCCACGCCCCGCCCCCGCCTCCCATTGGCGGAGGCGCCCCTCGGGCGTTCGCGTTGCTCCGGCAACCAGCGCGGCGGGAAGGGGCGGGCGCGAGGGCGGGGCCGCGGGGTTTTGATTGGCTGCGCCGAGCCACGCGCGCGGCGCCGATTGGCCGCGCCGCAGGCCCCGCCCCAGCGGGCGAACGGGGCGTGTCACGTGGGGGCGGCGGGGGCGGCGGGAGCGGCGGAGCGCAGCGGCCATGAAGCACTACGAGGTGAGGAGGCCGCGCGGCCCGCGCAGCGGGGACAGCGACCATCACCGGAGCGACCCCGGGCGCCGGCCCCGCACGGAGCGCTCGCGCCGACCTCGCGGAACCCGCGCGTTCCGCCCCGGGGCACCCGGGACGCGCTGTGCGCATGTGCGCTCTGGGTGGCGCTTTGCTCATGCGCGTCAGAGCGCGGCTGCCGGGGCGGGGCTTGGGGCGGGGCCTCGGGAGGGGGCGGAGCTTGGGGACCCGGGACACTCGGGGGGTCTCGGGGGGTCTCGGGGGCCCGGGAGGTCCCGGAGGGTCCCGGAGGGTCCCGCCGCCCCCGCGGGGCCCTGAGGAGCGGGGTCACCGGGGTCACCGTGTCCTGTCCCTGTCACCTCCCCCCCAGCGGTGACAGCCCCGTCCCGGGTGACAGCCCCGTCCCGGTGTGACACAGCCCCGTCCCGGTGTGACAGCCCCGTCCCGGGTGACACAGCCCCGTCCCGGTGTGACACAGCCCCGTCCCGGGTGACACAGCCCCGTCCCGGTGTCCCCGGTGACGTCACCGCGCTCCCCCCGGCAGTGTCACCCCCGCGGGTGACAGCGGCCACGTGGCCGCGGCCGGCTTTGTCCCCACCTGGTGGCACCGAGGCTCTCGGGGTCGCTCTCGGGGCTGGGGGGGGCTCCGGCCTCACCTCCCGCCCGCGCCACGTCCTGACCTGGCCTGTCCCCTCCGTGCCCGCCGGCCACTGTCCCCACCCCCCCGCGGGTGACCCTGTCCCTCCCGGGGCCACCTCCGGGGCCACCTCCAGAGCCACCCCCGGGCCACCTCCAGGGCCACCAAGGCGGGGAGGTTTATATTTAGCGCGGCCGATCGGGTTTCGGGCGGGCGCGGTGACATGGAGGTGGCGGTGCCACCCCGCGAGGGGGGCCCGGTGGCCCCGGGGACCGTGCTGGCGCTGTGGCCACCGGTGGCCCCCAGCAGGCGGCCCAAGAAATCGGCCGTGCTCTTCTTCGAGGTGGAGATCCTGGACGCCCGCACGCGGGACAAGCTCTGCTTCCTCGACAAGGTACGGGGACACCGCCGGGGGACACGGGGACACCGCCGGGGGACACGGGGACACCGCCGGGGGACACGGGGTGGCCTGGAGCTGTCCCCGTGCTGTCCCCGCGGCCCCTGACAGCCCCCGATGTCCCCAGGTGGAGCCTCAGGCCACCGTGGCCGACATCAAGAACCTGTTCAGCAAAGCCCGTGAGTGGGGACAGGGAAGGGGACAGGGATGGGGACACTGCCCAGCAGTGCCACCACGGCTGTCCCCTCTGTCACACAGATCCCCAGTGGTACCCGGCGAGGCAGTCGCTGCGCCTGGACCCCAGTGAGTGTCACCGAGGGATGGGACATCCCCAGGTGTCCCCAGGGGTGTCCCAGGTGTCTCAGGTGTGGCTGTCCCCAGAGGGTCGCTCGCTGAAGGACGAGGATGTGCTGCAGTCGCTGCCCGTGGGCACCACGGCCACGCTCTACTTCCGGGACCTGGGGGCGCAGATCAGCTGGGTCACGGTGAGAGACCCTCACCTCTGTGTCACCTCTGTGTCACCTCTGTGTCACCTCTGTGTCCCCCTGTCACCCTGTGTCACCCCGTGTCCTTCTGTCCCTGTTCCTGGCTGTCCCCTGTGTCCCCCTGTCACCCCATGTCACTGATGGAATCCGGTGTCCCCCCATCCCTCACCTGTCCCTGGCTGTCCCCTCACCTGTCCGAGGTGTCCCTGGCTGTCCCCTCACCTGTCCCTGCCTGTCCCAGGTGTTCCTGACGGAGTACGCGGGTCCCCTGCTCATTTACCTGCTCTTCTATTTCCGGGTCCCGTTCCTGTACGGGCCCCGCTACGACTTCACCGCCAGCCGGCACCGCGTGGTCCAGTGAGAGGGGACAGCGGGGACAGCGGGGACAGCGGGGACAGTGGGGATGGGGGACAGTGGGGATGGGGGGACAGCGGGGATGGGGGACAGCGGGGATGGGGGACAGCGGGGACAGCGGGGATGAGGGACAGTGGGGATGGGGGGACAGCGGGGATGGGGGGACAGCGGGGACAATGGGGACAGCGGGGAATGAGGACTGGGGACAATGGCAGCACAATGGGGGCTGGGGGGACACTGGGGGGGGGTCTGGGAGGTGGTGGCATCGCGGGGACAGCGGCCGGGGTGGCGGGACAGGGGGAGGTGTCCCCAGGCTGTGTCCCCATGTCCCCGCTGTCCCCAGCCTGGCGTGCTGCTGCCACTCGTTCCACTACGTGAAGCGGCTGCTGGAGACGCTCTTCGTGCACCGCTTCTCGCACGGCACCATGCCCCTGCGCAACATCTTCAAGGTGACACTGCCACCTGCGCCACCTGCGGTGACACTGCCACCTGCGCCACCTGCGGTGACACTGCCACCTGCGCCACCTGCGGTGACACTGCCCTGTCCCCACAGGGGGGTCACTGCATCCTCCCTGTCCCCCGGGTCACCCCGCTCTCCCTTGTGTCCCATCCCTGTCCCCTCAGCTGTCCCCAGCTGTCCCCTGCCTGCCACTGCTGTGTCCCCAACATGTCCCCAAAGTGTCCCCATTGTCCCCAGAACTGCACCTACTACTGGGGCTTTGCTGCCTGGATGGCGTATTACATCAACCACCCGCTGTACACACCCCCGGGTGAGTGTCCCTGTCACCCCCTGTCCCTGTCACCCCCCTGTCCCCCCACATCTGAGGGGACACCGGGGGCTGTCCCTCTCCCTGACACCCCGGTGTCCCCCCAGCCTACGGTGACGAGCAGGTGAAGCTGGCACTGGCCGTGTTCCTGGTGGGTCCCTGATGGGGACATGGGGGGACACGGGGGGGCTGGGGGGGTTTGGGGGGCTGGGATGGGGGATTTGGGGGGGCTGGGGGGGTTTGGGGGGCTGGGAGGGGCCAAGGGGACACTGGGGGGTCCAAGTTGGGTGTTTGGGGGGGGTCCAGGTGCCCCCCCAGGTGTCCCCTGTGACCCCGCCCTGCTCCCCCCCAGTTCTGCCAGCTCGGGAACTTCTCCATCCACGTGGCCCTGCGGAACCTGCGCCCCGCAGGTGAGGGGACACCGGGGGGGACACTGGGGACATTGGGGACACCGGGGGGGACACTGGGGACATTGGGGACACCGGGGGGGACACTGGGGACATTGGGGACACCGGGGGGGACACTGGGGACACGATGGTGCAGAGGCCACAAGAACACGTGGGAGCAGCCAGGGGCTGGCAGGGGCACGGTGGGGACACAGGGGGTGACACCTGTCCAGGGGGTGACCTGTGTCCCGCGGGTGTCACCGTGTGTGTCCCGTGGGTGTCACCGTGTGTCCCATGGGTGTCACCGTGTGTCCCATGGGTGTCACCGTGTGTGTCCCGCGGGTGTCACCGTGTGTCCCGCGGGTGTCACCGTGTGTCCCATGGGTGTCACCGTGAGTCCCGCGGGTGTCACCGTGTCCCATGTCCCCGGTGCCAGGCTCCAAGACGCGGAAGATCCCGTACCCCACCCGCAACCCCTTCACGTGGCTGTTCCTGCTCGTGTCCTGCCCCAACTACACCTACGAGGTGAGGACACCTGGGGACACCTGGGGACACCTGGGGACACCTGGGGGGATGTGGGGACACCTGGGGGGCACTGGGGGGATGGGGAGGCTGGGGGGGAGGGGACACCGCTGTGCTGGGGGGGGTCACCACAGCGGGGGAGCCCTGGGGGGCACGGCAGGACTGTGGGGGAGGGGAACATGGGGGGTCTGCCCCCCCAATGGGTGACACCCCCAGCGGTGACACCCCCAGCGGTGACACCCCCAACGGTGACACCCCCAACGGTGACACCCCCAGCGGTGACACCCCCATGGGTGTTCCCCCCCAGGTCGGGTCCTGGATCGGTTTCACCATCATGACCCAGTGTCTGCCCGGTGAGGAGAGAGGGGACACGGGGGACAAGGGAGGGGCTGATGAGGGGGTGGCACCCCAGAGACCCCCGCTCTGTGTCCCCTGTCCCACCCTGGGGTCCCTGTGTCCCCTGTCCCCCTCCAGGGTCTCCTGTCCCCTCCACATCCCTCGTGCCACCCGTGACCCCCCGAACCCCCACGGCCCGGGGTCCCTGTCCCTCCCTGTCCCCACGGTGACAGCGCTGTCCCCACAGTGGCCCTGTTCTCGCTGGTGGGCTTCGTGCAGATGGCGATCTGGGCGCAGGGCAAGCACCGCAGCTACCTCCGGGAATTCCGGGATTACCCTCCCCTGCGCTCGCCCATCATCCCCTTCCTGCTGTGACAACGGGGACAACGCCTGTCCCTGCTGTCACACCCTGGTCACCTGCTGTCCCCTCCCTGCTGTCACACCTGGGACACCGGGGACACCCCCCTGTCCCCTCCCTGCTGTCACACCCGGGTCACCCGCTGTCCCCTCCCTGCTGGGACACCGGGAACACCCCTGTGTCCCCTCCCTGGTGGCAGTGTCCCCAGCAGGGCTGGCCCAGTCCCAGGGACAGCACGAAGCCACCCTTGGTGACAATGCGGTGTCACCCACACGTGGCTGGTGACCACAGCCCAGCGTCACCGCGTCCCCCGTCCCCACAGGTGACAATAAATCCCGTCCCCCACCCGCGTGTGGCCTGTCATTGTCCCATCCTGGGGGGGTCACAGCCGCCCCGTGGGACACTCCCGCTGTCCCCACACGCAGTGACGAGCCAGCGCGGTGACACTCGGCAGCTTTATTGCGCGGGGTGGCCTCACGTCACCGTCCCCGCGGTGTCCCCGGGTGTCCCCAGGCGTCACTCGCTGTCCCCGTGGCGCTGCCGGATTCGCTTCTGGCGCTGCCGCAGGCGCCGCTCGCGCTCGAACTCCTTCATGGGGGTGACGTAGCTGGGGACAGGCGGCGCCGAGCTGTCACCGCCGTGTCCCCAGGCTCACCCGTCCTCAGCGCTGCGTCCCCTCCGGTGTCACACACCCCCCATGTCCCTGTCCCCACTCACGGTGTCCCCACTCACCCGCCAGCCGTGTCCCCCCACTGTCCCCGATGTCCCCATCATGTCCCCGTCAAGCTGCCTCACTTGCAGTGCTGGCAGCTGTTCCAGCTGTGTCCCCACAATGTCCCCAATGTCCCCCCATGTCCCCACGCTGTCCCCCCGTGTCCCCCCGCTGTCCCCGTGTCCCTACTCGTGGTGCTGGCAGCTGTCCCAGGCGTGGCGCAGCGCGTGGCAGCCCCATGGCACGGGGAAGTTGTCGCGGTGGCAGCGCAGCAGCCGCAGCAGGTGGTGGCCGCAGAAGTCCCTCTGCTCCAGGGGCACCCGGCCCTGCGCCAGCTGCGCCGCCGAGGCCACCATGGCTGTCACCGGAGGGGACAGGGACACGCTCAGCGCCCGCCCGGCCACCAGCGCAGGGGACAGGGCTGGGACAGAGCCGGGGGCGCGGGGTGGCGACAAGGGGACATCGAGACGCGTGTGGCACGTGGGGACGGGGCGGGGTGTGACAGGCGTGGGGACACGGGAAGGGACAGGGCCGGCGGCCACCACAGCTCCGGTGGGGACACGGAGGGGACACAGGAGGGGACACGGGAGGGGACACGGGGGGGGACACGGTGGGGACACTGTGGGGACACGGGAGGGGACACGGAGGGGACACGGAGGGGACACGGGAAGTGGCACCGGGAAACACGCGCGGGGGGGGCCGCGCCGGGAGGTCACCGCGGTCACGCGAGGGCGGGGACGCCCCAAGGCCACCGCGTCCCCCGCCCTGTCCCCGTCCCGCGCTCTCCCCGTGTCCCCGTGTCCCCGTGTCCCCGTGTCCCCGTGTCCCCGCACTGACCGCGGGGCTGGCGGCGCGGCAGGCCCAGATCGGCGGGGAAGGACGGCATGTGCAGCGGGTCGGGCTCGGCCTCCGCGTCCCACAGGTAGCGCCGCGCCAGGTGAGCGCCCATGGCGGCGGGGCCGGCCCGGGAGCGGCAGGGGGGACCCGGCAACGGCGGCGGAACAGGAAACGGCGGCGGAAGCGGAAGCGGCGCGCACCGGAAGCGGAGGCGGCGGAACCGCAGGCGGGGGACGCAGCTGCGCGGGACTGCGGCGTGCCCTGGCGGCCGGGAGGACCCCACAGCACCCCCTGAACCCCCCAGAACCCCCCAGCCTCACCCCAAATCTCCCCCGCACCCTCAGGGAGCTCTGGCGGGACTCCCCGCCTGCCCCCGGTCCCTCCCCGAACTCCCCGAGTGCCGCAGGGCCCCCCCCGCCCTTTCTGGGGGGACGTGGGGACAACGACGGCACCGGGAGGGTCACAGGGTGGTGGCACCTGCGGCCCCCGGAATGTCCTCAGTGTCCCCAGGAGGGGACATCCCGATGTCCCACACAGAGCCCTGAGGGGTGGCAGCTGTCCTGTCCCCAGGAGGTGACCGATGTCCCCACAGGGATCCCAGAGACGCAGGGGACGCGTTGGGGACCCAAAGCCACCCCAGGATGTCCCCGGCCAAAGCAGAGACGAGGCCACTGGAGTGACAAGAGACAGTTTATTGTAACGTGAGTGTCCCCAAGGGCCACCTCGGGGACAAGACCAGCCCCGATGTCCCCCGAGGTGGCCGAGGCCACCAGGAAGCTCCTGTGGCGGGTGGTGACGTCTGTCCCGGTTCGATGGCGGATGTCACCGTCGCTCAGGCCCCTCCAGGCTCCTGTCCCTCCCCAGGCTGTCCCCTCCCTCGCAGCCCTGTCCCGCACAGCCCCGTGTGACACGGCCAGGCTGTCCCCAGGCTGTCCCCTCCCTCCCGGCGCTGTCCCCGTGTGACAAGGTGACACGGCCGCGCTGTCCCCGCGGCTCAGCGCCCCTCCAGGCTCTTGTCGCGGGCGATGACGGCCTCGTCGAACTTGATCATGAGCGTGGTGCCCTTGTGCCAGTGCGCGCTGACGCGGGCGGGGAAGCCGGCGGCGCCCAGCACGGCCTCCAGCAGCCCCGCGGCGAAGGCGGCGCAGTTGAGGGAGCTGTTCTCCCGCGGCACCGACACGAACGTGTTCACCACCGGCTCCCGCTCGATCACGTAGAACGTGCGGTCGTCGTCGTTGGCCTGCTCCAGCTTGTCGGCCTCGCGGCCGAAGAGCGCCCGCCAGAGCGGGCCCTTGACGAACAGCAGCACGCCCAGCACCTTGGTCTCCCGCCGGCCCGGCCGCTCCCGGGCCACCAGCGCG